CTGGGGGGGGGTGCTCCGGGTGGGGCTCCCCCCCGCGGAGGAGCCCCTCCGGGGCCTCCTCTGGACTTGCTCCAGCCGGTCGGGTATTATCTGATGGGTGGCTGCAGCTGGGAGCCGGAGGGGCAGGCAGCGAGGAGCTGGAGGCTGAGAAGGGCTCACGCAGCGAGACTGCCCTCCCGTTTGCCTTTGGAACAGATACCTCTGCCAGCAGACAAAATCCTGCCTTTCTCATGTGGCTGCTGTCCACGTCGAGGGGAAGCGAAGGAGGCTGCTGATGCTGGGGAGCTCCGACTGCCCATGGTGCTGGGTTCAGCCTCCCCAGCCTGGGGCTGACAGCGGAGCGGGGTCACGGGGTGACAGCATCTGATATCCATACTACAACAGGAGAAAATCGTGTCTGTGTGTTCAATGGAGTTGGAGATGCGGTGCCTCACGCTGCCTGATGCAATTGGATCGTTTTCCCTCTCGGATGCTTAGAGTGCTTCTCATCCTGAATTTGCTACAGCTTTACACTGCTAAAAATCTCCTTCCATTTAAAGCAGCTAGCACTGTGATGCTTATTATAATGAGTAAGTGTATTTGTCGGGGTCTGAGCACTCAGTGCAATCATACCTATTGCTTTTGCCAAAGCAGGGTCCTTGTGGCATTGCAGGATGCTGCAGCACCTCAGGACACACCTTTGGGAGATCCGAGGCACTTTTCCAGCTGAACGCTCCTAAAGCTCCTGATATTGTCAAGCTTAAGACAGGGGTCTCAACCACCTTTAATAAGTCCTGCACTTCCCTGCTCTCCCCTTACACACTTCCACCATATGTTCTCCCCATGGCAGGGCTTTTTACTGGGAACCCAGCACCCCCAGTGGCTTCATTCTGCTGCCACTGCCTGGTGTGAGATGTGGGGTCCCATCTCTCCCTCCACCCCAAGGACAGCAGTATCCAGCAAGCTCCCATGCCACAGCTACCCCCAGGTGAAAGGACAGGGACCCATCCTGCCTTTGCTGCTCACCCAAGGAGCCCCCTGACCTGGATTTTGCAGGCAGCTGGGGCTCACTCTGGTGTTGTTAGACCCTTGTTACCTCCTTTCCAACCAGCGAAGCAGGTGACGGTGCTTAGCACCACCAGGCATGATGATTTTTCAGCCAAGTGGTATGTGAACAGCAATATTCACTGATGAGGTTCAGCCTTCGAACTTGGCAGGCGGATGCATTGGGGCCCTTGGAAGCAGCGTGGATCACTGAGGTCAGGAAATTGAATATAAGCCATCGGTGACTGCTGCAAATTGCACATATGGATTTCAACCTCTTGGCCTCAGCAGAAGGTCCCTGCTGG